ATTAGACTAATTATTACAAAACAAATCAAATGAATAACTAGCAAACTAATTACTAATTATTACAACACTTAACTAATTAGCACACTAATTAATTAAATTACAAAACCAATTAAGCATGCAAAACATGTAAACTAAGCTGCCTCAGCTTTGCCTTGAGTAATGAAGACTGCATGTTCTCGGTTGCTGCCCCGAAATGTCTTCCGGTTTGCTCTTAAGAGGCTCTGTTTGCAGGGTGTCTCCAAGAACTTTTTGCTCTGCCTTACCAATTCCATGCTGAGGAATGCACCAGTGGCCTGCCGGCCATGGGAAACTGCTGCCGACCACCTGCTGGCCAAGGGTGTGTACTGCTGGCCAAGGATGAAGCAGTGCCAGCCACTAGTGAGGCACTGCCGGCCACTGGTGTGCTGCACTACCATTCTGCAACAAAGCTCAAACCAGAGAAAAATGGAGGGTCTCCCAAGGGTATGTATGTACTGTGCCACTCCTTATCATCTCAAAACATCAAAGGAGAGGCACCATTGGATCCAAAATCATTAATCAACCACTTTGAATGCATGATGGCCAAAGATCCAACTTGTACACATTTAATAAATGCACACAAACAAGACTCTAGGACCATTACCTTATCATGGGTGATCAAAGGCAATGGAGACAAAGGAGATTGGCTCATTTCATCACTTTGAGTATGAAATGGACCAATCCACCTTCTGTTCAATATAACGTTTGATTGAACAAAATGCAATGCAACACAACAATGCTTATCTTAGCATGTTTTACTTGATTCAATTCCTGTTTACACATTTTAAGTTACCAAACCATTCATTAATTGATTTGTCCAAATGTGAAAGTCCTCTAATGGGAGAGAGGTCAATCAAAAGATGACTTAAGACATGAGAGAAACTACGCCTTTGACTAGGAGGAACCCTCAAAAGAGAGTTAAAGCCATTTAAGCACAAGCCTCAATCCCAAGCTTAAACACAACTTTAAGACTAACCAACCCTCAAAACAAATAGAAAAATGAAGAAATGAGGGAGGTGGCAGAATTTCAGTGTTGATATGGCATGAATCACAAAACTCTAACATGCAAACAACTCATGTACAACATATTAGGAGACTTAAGCATCAAAACTAGTGAAGAGCTTTACACTAGGTCCATGCAATATCAAACTCAAATGGCTAAACTAGCTCTGGACAGAGCTTAAAGATGCCAAAATAGTGGCTAAAATGAGCTGAGAGGGTAGCATGAAAAGCAAGAAAAACATGCTCATGTATTGGCCCACAAACAAGGCATAAAACACAACTCTCAAAAGAGATGAAAGAGTGAAATATGTGAGAGTGTGATAGAGTTATAAGCACTGAAATCACATGCTAAATGATGCCAAAACATGAAAACATCACAAGCAAAGCATGCTAAGGGCCTCAAAACACAAAGCTAGTGAAGCTAACTACACTATAGCTATGCAAAGCAAGTCTCAAAGGATCCAGACCATTCAAAACAGAGTTTAATCATATCAAAGCAAGGCCAAAAACATCCTGGAGTGGAGCCAACACATGCTAGAACAATAGGTTAAAACATCAAGTATGTTAAGCTAGTAAGCATAATTACACCACAAGTGTAAGAAGCAAGCAAGAAGTGACTCAACCAGCCAAAAACAGAGTTATAACATGTTGAAATAAGGCCAAAAACATGCTTGAACTAAGCCACAAAAAGGTATAAGCACATGCTCATATGTTAGGCCATCAACACATGCAAACAAAACACGAGGAGGGGAGGCCACCTCCTCCTATTTTGGACCTCAAAACCAAGTTTCTACCACTGAAATTCCTCTGGAATTCAGTGGTTAAAGGGCCAAAAGAGAATTGTTTTAAAGGCTTTAAAAGATGGCGCAAAGCTTAGCCAATAAGCCTCAAAAGAGGGGGGAACACCCCTAGCCCCAAAAGGGCCTCAAACTACCATTTTTAACACTTAAAAATAGAGGTTTTTGTAGTCGACAACTAGGCCAAAAATAGCATGCAGCAGCAATGTATAAAAATAAGTTTAAAAGGGGAAACTCCTCACCCTTGAAGCACAGCAGCAAATCAGGAACAAAGACAAGCCAAAACCAAGCTAAAACCTTCTTCTAAGACTGAAAAAAGATCTCAAGCAACCTCCACACCAAGATGATCAAGTTTGATCAAGAACACACAAGCAAAAGTCTAGAGAATTCAAGCTTCAAGGCAATATATTTAGAGAGAGAGAATTCTAGAGAGAGAGAGAGAGAAAAATTTGCTCACAAATTTTTGTAACCCCCTCCATGCAAGAGGGGGGCCTCTATATATAGAGGATGCAAAATCCTCTTGAAGAGATCCAGCCATCCATGTGGGTGCAGATGGTCCATCCTGCAAACAGCTGGCTCAAAAATATCAGAAAAATATCTGTTGAAACATTGGTGGCTAGCTGGCCATCAGTGATGGCCGGCAGTGGCTTATTGATGGCTGACAGGCCTCATCAACGGCCGACAGTCCCATTTCATGGCCGACAGTGCACCAAGAGGAGCATTCTGGAGGGACTGAAGCATGGTCCAAAAATGGGGTAGAAAGGATACAGGGTTTGAAAAGCTCAAACCTATGACGTTTCACCGCGAAATTCAACTACTCGACGAGCCGCCAAACTTGTCACTGGATGTACCTGCAAGAACATCCAAATCTTGAGGACGGTAAAAAATGGGGTGTCTACAACCATCTTTGCCACCACAGATCCATTACTATCGCCGTTACTGCTGCCACCACTCCACCACCACCTCTTCTCCACTTCCATCGCCACAACCACCACTACTACACAACCACTTTCGTTACTACTTCACTACCATTGTCACCTCACCACTACTATCACTACTATCACTACTACCACCACCAATCTTCCACCACCGTCATCACCACTCTACCACTGCCACCACTAACTCTCTTCCACCACCACTACCACCACTGCCACCGCTGCCACTTTACCACCACAATCATCACCTTTACACCACCACCGCTACTACTTCACCACCACCATTACCATCACTGCCGCTACTCCACCATTGCCACCATCGCCACTGCAACACCACCATTACCACCATCACCTCTCTACTACTTCTATCACCACCACCACAACCATTGCCCCACCATTGCCATTACTACCGCTGACGCTACCATTTTTCTTTTACCACCACTGCCTTACTTTACCACTACCGTTGTCGCTACTCCATTTCCAGCGCCGTCGCTCCACTGCCACCACCACTAGCACTCCACCACCACCGAACCCATTTAAATCCCTTTATTAAATAGGTGATTTTGAATCGATTTCGTTTGGTTTTGATTTTCGAAAACTATTTTTCAAGCCTCAATCCTTATTTTTGTAAATTTTAGTGAACTTTTTAAATATTTTAATCATTTTTAATTGATTAAAATATTGAAAATTTTCACTAAAACTAAAAAAATACTAATTAAAAACTCAAAAAATAATTTTCAAAAATTGAAACAAATTTTTAATACAAAACCTATTTTGACTCGTTCAAACTTGATCGTTTGCCACATTTGCAAAATAAAAAAAAAAACTAACAAATTATTCCAAAAATTCCCCTCCCCATTTTCTTCATCTTCCCTTTCTCACAGTCGCTCATCTATCTCTCTGTCTCTCAGTCGCGCTCATCTCTCTCTCAACAGCGTAGGGCAGCAATGACGGTGGCATGCAACGGCGTCCAATAGCGGCAGCATCTCTCTCAGTCGCTCATTTCTCTCTCAACGATGTCTCTCTCTTTCTCTCACGCACGCTCACTCAGTCTCTTTCTCTCTTGCGATCTCCGTCAACGTTACCACGATGGTTTTTCGGCGTAGTGAGTTTCCCTGTCTCGTTCTCTCATTCTCTTTTTCTCTCTCGTTCTCTCTTGTTTTGTATGTGTTTACAAAATTCTCGAGAAACAACAGTGCTGTCCATTTGGGCTTGTTTAGTAGATTTTTTTGAATCCTTTTTAGTTCCTTTAGATACACCAGATTCCATAAATTTAGCCTCTTCTCACTCTTTCAAGAATCAACCCAAGTCCCACACCTTTTAGCGGTTTCAGAATTGAAAATTTCTGCAGAGAAAGAGAAGAACTTTCGTTTTTGAACCCTCTCCGTTGCATCAAAAGTTCTTCCCCAACTTGGTACTCCACTTTTCTTCTACTATTTCAACTCATTTTGCTTGGTGCCTATTGGGTTATGTTGATTCTTGGTTCAGGGCTAGTTTGTTGCTGTTTTCACTTTTTTTTTTGCCAATAACTTTAATGGGTTTTATTTTGTTTTAAGTCCGTAGGTAAGAAGTAGTGAAATCAATACAACAACTAGTATTTTTGTTGAGAATTTGCAATTGTGTGCATTTTGTAAGTGGTTTTTGCACACCCACCATGTGTTTGTGTGTTTGTTTGAAAGAGATAAAAAGTTGCAGTAAACTAGAATTTGGATGTGAAAATATCATTATCAAGTTGATTTTTTTATGACTGAACTACAAATAAACTAAGCACTTTAGATCATTAAATTAGACCAATAATAGATTTTATGAGACTTGTGAACAAAAAAGAATCTTTCCTCTTTCTCATATTTTCATTGTGGATAAAACACTAGTTTCACACCATATTGAGTTAGACACCTTACTTCTAATTAAATAGGCACACGATTAATTCAAGGGCCATGCTAATGACATCAAGATTGATTAGTTTTTTTTTTTTTGATATCTTTTTTGCTTATTTTAATTACGGGTCAATGTAGACTATTCACACTTTTGGTTCACGAGCATGATCTTGCCTCTGAAATTCAAAACAAATAATTATGAAGAAATCAACATTAATTTTTTAGAGCATGACCTGAAGTTGTTTAAATAATTATCACCAAGTTTAAATATTATAGTGTCATATTGGTTATTTGTGTTGAGCGACTCATGCTAGATTTGAAGCTGGTTTTATGGTGTGGGGTCTTTGCAAATCTTGTTTGTGAATTATAATTAATTGTATTATTTTATACTTGTTGGTCTTAATCAAACTTTTGGTATGTCTTATTTATTATTGTGGCCTAAGTTTCCAAATTCATGTATTGATTTGTTGGGGACATACTTGCCTAACTATAATTGGTGGGTGGTGTTGATCTGGAGTTTTGGTGCAATGAGGAGCCAAAGATTAGCTCATTCAACAGTAATTTTGATCTACCCCATAAACAGCTGTAAGTACTCAATTGATGTTTTCAAATCTTTTTGAATAATTTACGGTTTGAAGATTAGCTCATTCAATTGATTTAGTGCTATATATCTGTCATGACTGAAAGGGACATTCTAATTTTATAGAATTTTGGTTGAGTTTATTTGAATTTTCAATAATATTATGCATGGGTGTTTCAACGAGAATAGGCCAATGTGGAAGGACCACAGAGTATTTTGTTTTGCAAGTTGAGGTTGTAGATGTCTGTTAAGCCTGACCATTACTTTCTTTCATGTTGTTAGTAAATTATGGCTTTATGTTCTCCAGGATTTTCAAGCATTGAAAATATCACGAGATGAATGACAAATATTTGATTGCTTAATGATAAAATTAGAAGCAAAATAGAATTTGAAATCTCAAGGCAGGTTTTGGGTCAATTCTATTCTATGGTGTTTGAAATCCAAGTGTTATTGTATAAATTAACTAGAAACAAAGAAAGAAATAGAAGCTCAGTGAACAAACAATGAATAGGTGTTGATTTTCTGTACTTTGTCTAGCTTTGCCCAACAGCCTCAACTTTAGTCTATTATCAAATTTTGTTAGTTTGTGTTTGTTTTCATTTCTTCATAGTTATGCTCAGTTTTAAAGAGGAATAGATGTTGATTGAAGTCAATTTGCATGTTGTTTCATTTTTTGTAATCAAATATGGTCATAGAATTTTTAAGAGGAATATGTGTTGATTGATCCAAGTATGCAGAATTTTTAGCTAGAATGATTTATATTTTTTAAACTACAATCAATGTGTCTTCAGTTTTCAGGTCATAGAATCCAAACCAACCATCAATTTGACATTCCAAACAGTGAATATTTGTGCCTAGTCAACAGGTTTAAGCTTAAAGTACTAATGTTTCTTCATCTTTTTCTTTGATTTTTATTATCCTTGTGTAGGTTTTGTTGCTAGAGCGCTGCTACTGCTGGAGGGCCAGATTTCAAGATTTAGCATAGTTAAATGGAGGTTTTATAAATTATTAGAAACACTGCAAATTGGCTTCTTCTTGCCTAATTGAATAATATTCACCTATTTCTTGAATAATCAATGGGGTTTTACCATACTAATGAACATGCTTATGTGACATATCATGCTATGCTTTTCTATTCTCCAGCTAAAAAAAAATGTATCTCGTCATCTTCTTGTCATTTCTTTTCTTTCCCCCCCCCCTCCCCCCTTCTTCTTCTTCTTCTTCTTCTTCTTCTTCTTCTGTAATTCAAATATAATTTGAGTTTTTATCTTTCTTTTCCAGAGTATTTGAAAAGTCACTACAGTATGTCAAGCACTTTAGCTGCTACAAGAATCAAGATTCTATCAGACAAGCTCGAGAGTATCCTTTAATTATATGAAAATATTGCAACTTTATTTCAATTTTTTGAACTGTAAAAGACAAGGAGATGAGCACCTCCATTTTTTGCTTGGCATTTTCTTTATGGTATTTTAGTTTTCTCAAAGATTGGATTGGACTGCTATAATTAATATTGCTAGTATAAAGAGGCAAAAGCTTAACCATTCCTCTCCATCCTGAATATTGTAATCTTGGTTAATAAAGCTCTTACAGTCTCAGTACTTATTTACTTTCACCTGTGTGCTCTCATTCCCTACCAAATCTTCCTTGAATGATGATCTATCTCCATTTGCTTCTTTAGTTACTAGTTCCTTTGTTTTCTTTTTGCTATAGCTATTTTTTCCTTATATTCTCTTTCACTTTTTTGCCTAATGATTCCTTTTTTTTTGGTTATTCCTTTGTTTTCATTTTGGCTTCCCTTTTTTCTATCTTAAGAGCTACAATCAGATTGTCAATCAAGTTTCAATATCCATTGAAACAGTCTTGGGGATTAATTTTTTTGCAACATTTGTAGGAGTCATATGGATATCCTCCGACAACAACACATTAATTCTGGCAAACAAATTATGTGATTCAAGATTAAGATAGTTTTTCTTCTACTGCTTGCTTATGATCTGTTATAGCTATAACTTTTGTGTAATCTTCATGTTAAATATAATTAAGTTTAGGTGAATGTTTTTCTTTGAACACTTATTAGTTATACTGTGTTTTTCTTTGAATGTTTTGGCCTCAGGTTTTGTGGATCTTGTAATCGAGTTAAGGTGACTCTTCAATGGCCTTAGACAGGATTTGATGAGCAGGTATCTTCTACACATTGATATATATATATATATATATATATACACGCATGTACACAATCACACACGTGGATGAGGTTAAAGGTGAGCCTACCGACAACCCATACTGGTCGTACGAGGTTGAGAGTGAACCTACTAAAAACTCAGACATGTTGTATTTGTTGTATGGGTTGTTGGTAGAGGTTGCAGGTGAACCTACTGAAAACCCATGTATGTTGTTTTATTTATTGTAGCATTATTAAAAACCCATATATGTTAATGGAAATGCAACATCAAGAAAAAAGAAAAAGAAACATAACCAATTAAATATCTAATACATCTTCATAAGTCATAATAATATATGCATGGATATAGGACGGGACGCTCGGTTTGAAAACTGTGGAGACCCTAATGTTTGGTAATTACACTTGAAACCCTAAGCCTCAGGTTAATTGCATTTTAATCTCAAATTTCATAAAATTGTACAAAATGGTCCAATAAAGAATAATTATTCTGTATTTTATTTTGTATTATAATTAAATCCTAGAACACCACTTTATAATTAGAAAAACCCTAACACTTGGCTTTTATTTATTTTACCTCCTAGTTTCTAAATTAATTCATACATTTTATTTATTTATTTATTTATTTTAGCCTAGTTGCATATTTACTAATTCTTTGAATCTTTATTATTTATTTGAGAAAATAAATAGCCATAAACATCTTTAAATAAATATTTTTATTATTTATTTTATTTTTTATTTGAGCAAATTAGTGGAAAAAAATATCTAGATATTTATAAGTTGCTTAGGCATTAAGTCAGAAGGGTAGAATGGTCCTTTCAACCCAATTCATGGCCTATAAAATTGAGAAGCATTGTCTCAACTCCTGTCTCACGTTTTTAGCAGCTCAAGGAGAAAGTGAGAGGGGAAGAGGGTGATCAAGGGAAGTAGAGAAAAAAAAAAAAGAAGAAGAAAAAAAAGAAGGAAAAGTGATTCAAGAAGGTAAGAACACCTCTTCCTCTTGTCTTCTCCAATTATTTCACCATCACATCCTATTGTTTAGATGCCCTCTTGTGTTCCATATTAACGGGAAATAGAGCATTTGGTGTATATAAAAGTGTGGGTTTGAGTTAGTGACATTGTCTTGCAAATCTGTCAAATTAGGCACTGCTCTAACTTCTCAAATTTAAAAGAAATATCAAATTTATTTATTTCTCAAATCTGAATTTAGTGTAGGCTATTTGGTGTGTTTAGAGCTTGTGATAATTTTATTAGCCCCTAATTGTTTGTTTTTAGGGCTTGGATATTTTGTTTAAAAATCTGGTCCTGAATCTCTGAAAAACAATCCACTTCTTGTAATTTTATAAAATTTCAGAAAAATCATCTCAGGTTGGTTCTTTTATAAAAATTTAGGATTTTTAGTCCTCTTTTCAATGGAATTTATTTGGGTGAAAAGCATTGGGTAGATTGAGGGGAAAGCTATTTTTTCCAAAGGATGACAAATCTGGACAGGTTTTCGAATATAGCTTGTAGATGAATTTCTGGAGGTGATGTGCGAATTCTGAGAATTGGAGTTGAAACTAGACTGGTTAATTATTATTTATGTGCAATTTCAGCCCCTAATTTGACCTAGAAGTATTTTTCCCAAAGTACTCTTGTTAGCCCTGCAAAATCGAACAGTGCTAGAAATGGTGTTTTATTGTGTTATTTGTCTCTAAGTGTTTCAAAGCATTCCTAATGTTATTTGCATGCCTTACCATACCTATGTATGACTATCATGAGCTAGATTTCCTTTCTTATGTTTGTCTCATGCTCTTTTATATTACCGAATTACCAAATGTGACTAACTTGCTTGGCAAAAGATCTAATAAATGGGAAATGAAAAGGGGTTGGTAATGGGTGACGTTCACCTTTGTGCATTAAAATGATTTATGTAATATATATGTGAATGATATTAAAACCAAATGAGTTAAGTCTTGCGCAAGCGGTCTAAGCGAGCCCCTAGGTTGACACGGAAGTGTTAAGACTCGATGCAGTGGTTTCAGGGTGTAAGCGAGCCCTTTGGTATGGCATGTGCAGGGTGTAAGCGAGCCCTTTGGTATGGCATGTGCAGGGTGTAAGCGATCCCTTTGGTATGGCATGTGCAGGGTGTAAGCGAGCCCTAGGCACGATTTGGGTGTAAGCAAGGCCACTTGTTTGGCTGTCCCTTTTGAGGTCCATCAATGTCACTGACCGGTAAACAACCGGAAGGTGGGCATAGGTGGTAAGGTCTGCAAAGCAGCAAAAGGGGGAGTTCTGAATAGTCTAGTGTTCAATCCTTGTGGTTGGGTAGAAGGATCTCTTTGGGAGATTCTGGATGTCTGGTCTAACTGCTAATTTATAGAACTATTGTATGTTATGTTACCCAATTTGTTCTATGTATGGTTGATTTGTTGATAGAAGATATGGGGGTGTGTGTGTTTTTACTGGGCATTCCAAGCTCATGGCGTGTCATGCTAGGTAATGAAGCAGTTTACAATGGTGAAGGTTATTTTGAACGCAAATAAGATGAAGTGTTGGAGCTATGGTTCATTTGAAGACATAGACTAGTTGTTTTTTTCCTTTTGACTTTTGGTTTGGCAATGTTTTGATAATCCTGTAGTGGAACATAAACAAATTATCTGTGATTTTAACTCTGGTTATATATGTATATTAAGATGTTTTGGTTATCTATCCTACTTTTGTTGTATTATTGTACGTATTTAATGGCCTGGAAGTTGGGGCATTACAGAATGGTATCAGAGCTTAGGTTCAATCCTTACCCACGCATTTCGACTTCAAGTGATTTGATGATCACCTACGAAGGGAAGTAGTTTTAACTTTGAATAGGGCAACGTGTTGAACATTAGATACAATATAGAAGTAGGGGTCTACGAGTCTTCTATTGATCGTCATATCCTCATTTCATATTTGTAACCTTGTTTGATGTCGTTCACTTCAAGATTAAGTCATTACCATCTGGTCTTACTTTATATTTTTCAATTATACCATTTGTAACCTTGAGCCTTGATTATGCCATCTTGTTCGAGAATTTTTTATAAAAATTGCAATTTCTTTATTCGATGACGAATCTTGGATATTCAGTTTGAAATGCGGATGGCCAACGCAGTTTCAAGTTAAATATCTAACTTAGTCACTATCTCTATGACCTTGACCACATAAAAGTCGTAAATCGTAATCCATCCGTATTTCAGATAATCCTTACATTAATTGATGCAATTACTATAATATTCTTTCATCTCCACGTCGTATTCCTTTTACTAATCCAATTTTCACAGTCATGTAGTTGTTGTTTTGCCTATATATATATATGTGTGTGTGTGTGTGTGTGTGTGTGTGTGAAGTTGTGTTGTGTGCTCCCCTATATTTGTTATTTACTACTTGATCTTATTATTTTAAATACCATAGGATAATTAAACCATAACTTTAAGATTAGTTGATTACCCTTGAGAATTGCCTCCATAATTAGACTCCAACTTATGCCTCACCCTGTACTACGAGCAGAAAGAAAAAAAAAATAGTGAACCACACTCGAGCCAACGGCTACACCTAGACAAGCAATAACACACGAGCTCGCAAGCAATAAAGCAATAAGAATGAAGTATCATGTAATTGAAATCCCAAGAATGAACCAATACTCGTGCCTGAAATCTTGAGTAGCATTGGAAACGAGATTCTAGAAGAATTGGGTCAATTGAGGGGGGAAATGCAAGAAAGTTCGAATGGGTGCTAGACCCAATGATCAAAGGAAGAGGACGAAGACCCGTTAGTAATTAGAGGTAACATCGTACTCTATAATTCTTGGGTTCACGCTCTATTCGATTATGGCGCACCATTTTCTTTTTAAATAAAAACATCATGTGTTAAATCGTTAGGTCTTACATGTAAACCTTTAAAAACTACTTGAAGTATTGCATCACCTTTGGGAGGAAGTGTCAGTGCGAATTAGAAGTGTCAGGTTTACAATTGATTTGCGACCTTGTGGTCAGGGACACGTTTGATTTTGACATAATCTTAGGTATGGAATGACTATCTGCCCACTGAGCGGTGATTGATTGCTACCAGAAGAGGGTGACGGCTTACACACCTGATGGGAGGTGTTTCCAATTTAAGGGGGGATAGAGAGAAGAGTCTGAGCACGACAATGCAGTAGTATAATCAACTTGCTGCGAGTTCTGGTTGAAGGAAGTCAAATT